TAAATCATTGTGGTCTCTATGCATTCAGTTTAGGGGCCTGTGAGTTTTTCTACAACCGGACTCGACCCAGGTCCGGCCAGATTTGGGTCCGAGTTCCTATCCGGTTTTAATTTCAGACCGATTTGCATTCAGCTTCGAATCTGAATAGAACTATGTGAGGGACGACAAAAAGAAATAACTTTATATTGACTTTTTCTTTGAGTGTAACAAATAAATAACTATAATATTGATCCTGTGTTTAGTCATGCACACAAAAAGTACCAAATATTAGTGGAAAAAAAGCTCGGATTTGAACCCGACTGGATCCTTGTCAAAAAAAAACTGGATCTACAGATCTTTAATTCAATTTCTTCGTCATATTGCTCATCAACATCTATAGATGAATGTTTATTACAGCGAATTTTTTTTGAAAATAAAACAATGTAACTTCTCGATTCTTTGGTCTTTACTCAATTAGAATCGAACTCGTTCTCTCTCGTAAATACTAGTCTAGAAAAGTTAAAATATTTTTAAACATCGAAATTACTAAAAGCAAAAGTTTGGATTCAGACATGATCTGATGTGCAGTGTTCAAATCGATACAAAGAGCTTTTCTCGGAACTCATTTTTCGACTTGATCTAGGCGTGCGCGAATCATATGAATTGTACAACAATAGAACACAATAGATTACAAATATAAAGACTTCAATTCCGAATCTGTCATATTTCTCTTCACGCGTCAACATGAAACATATGTTCGTTTTATGTAGAGCTCTCATTAACAACTTTTTAACTCTATAACTATTTATGCCGTCTTTAAAAAATTTCATTTCAACAAAATTTGAAATAAAATGTATTGATAAAAATATAAGATTATATTATATATTTTAGTGTTTTGATTGATTATCATAACAATTTATTAGACTTATTAGAAAAAGAAACGACCACGAATGAAGAAACAAATGCTATTAATTTACTAAAGAATTTAATCAAAGAATTATCGTCAAGAGAAATATCCATTTTACAAGTTATACACCAAACTACTGGTGTTATTACACTTAGTAATAACGACTGTCTCTCGATTGAACGATTAGCTCGAGCAAGTCTTCAAATTGGGGAAGAATACTTTTCTCAATGGAATACAAAATTTACTTTTAATTTTCTTTATGTTCAATCATATATTATTCGTACATACTTACTTTTCTGTCCAATTAATTATAGTCATATTCATCGACGTTATCAATGTTATACACAACGACAAATAATATCTGATATAGATAAAACAATGTCGAATAACGATGATGATACTTCAAAGATATCTAATGACCCACGATTTGATTATTTAAAACAAATGTCATTAGGTAAACTTTACAATGGATATAATCTTCTTCGACAAATAACCAAAATGTTAAGCCATTCTGATCATGAATCAACAGATGTAAATCTTTATGAATTTACAAATTCAACTGATCGGGATAATCAACTATATGAACAATTAGAAAAATATGAAATACAAAATTTTGAATTAAGATATATTAGTGATGTATGCCGACGGTATGAAAAATTAATCGGTAATTTTCAATATTCACTTATAAGTGTTTCACATTTGCTTTGTATTCCGATTGATAATGAAACGAATAATCAATTAGATGAAATATTAGACACAACATTAATTAAAGCCTATTACGATAGTACAACCAACCAATTACAATCAACAGTACGAACAATAACAGAATTTTTAAATGCATTAAATGAAATCGAAGATACTCTACTACAACAATCTTCTCAATCATTAACACAAATATGTGAATACTTAAGTATTGAAAATGCTTTTGTTTCACTAATACCAAGTGAAATAAAATGTGAAAATTATGTTCCACTTGCAATTAAATTAATTGAAATAAGATCTAAATTACAAGAAAAAACAATTGATATCGAAGAACAAAATGAAGAAAAATGGAATAATAATTTTCATCATCAACCAAACGAACAAGAAGATACAAAAAATGTTTTTCAACAATATTTTAAAAAAGATAATAATATTACAGAGAGTTCTGAACATAAAGATTCATTTGATCATAATGAAACGAACAGTGATAATACAAAAATTAACACACAACTTTTTCAACAATCAAATGAACAAAATATAAACGATGATGAAACAACATTTAATTTGAATATGGGTGATACACTGTCCAGTCATTTGTTACATGTAGATTCTAACGATAGAGAAGATGAGCATGTCGAAGAAGATAATACTTCTAGATTCAAATTAACTCTAGATGAAAATTCAATCGATGATCTGTCACGTTCAACTTCCCGAGATGAAGAGATTCAGCATGAAACAGAAAATCATGCTATCATATCGATATCAGAAATAGATAGAGACTTTTCTGATGAGCAGCAGAATTCACAACCAATCATTGACACTAGTCCACTTGATATAAACTATAAAACGTCAAACACTGAATCAATTTTGTCTTTAGTACAAGAAACTATTGAATATAAATCTTTGTTTGAATTAAATATCAAATC